TTTTTGTTTTGTTCCTCAGTAGGCCTTTGGGGGTTTTCAGGACGGTGGAAATTGAGGACGAAAAAAAAAAAAAAAAAAAGAGACACTTTATTTTTAAATTATTGTGTATGCCACATGCGTCAACCTCCGTTCAAGGCTGACCAGTTGTCCATTCAAAGTAAGAGTCGTACCGTGTTGCAGAGCTATTTAAAGAGTTGCGAACATGGTGCACTTCATTATGAAGATGAATCTATATACCACACGGTGTCCTTTTATGTCGCCTTTGTTCACCGGGGCTTATCAGCAATGATTTCTTTCACAGTTGAATGCTTATTTTTACCATTGAATATCTATTGGCAACACAAGTAATGAGTTGCCAAACTGTGACTCAGAGTGGTACTGACACCCAAAAACATTACAACACAGAGTGTGTTAAAGTGGGATATTATGTGATATGTCAGCACAAAGTTTATAGAGAGAGAAGTCAGAGGAAAAGGTCGCACAGTTTTATACATCTATCATAAATAAAAATACCAAAAGTGTGATGCACGTTTGTATTCATCCATACCACCCTGTTTCAATGTTACCACTAAATATTTTTTTTTCCAGTTTCATGGGGGAAAAAAATAGAGAATGGCACAACTGCCAAATGACAATGAAAAATTATCAAAAGGAGATGCCAAGAACCACTGCTCAGGTGGTTCTTGGCATTTGTCAAAACGGCAACTATTAGTCGGTGTGCTCTACAAGTCCATCATTTATGTAAAATTTAGAAGAAGAAAACTATTTTTCAAAGAAAGCTACACGAAGTCCCATCTAATTCTTTCTTCAAGACAAACCCAAACTTAAGTTCTTGAGTGAAATGCAGTGCAGCAGTACTAACTGAAGTACCTTCTCCTAAATGGAGCTTTATGAGTGAAACGGCAACCCCTGTAAAGTGTATAGCGTTTTTTAATAACACATTGAAAACTGACGTTCATTGGTTCTCTGCATCTAATTTGCTGTCAGTAAAACTGGGAGAGTCCCACTTCTAAAAACTCTCAGCTCTGAATGCAACAAAGGTGATTCAGCAAACTGTTGACCCCATTCGGATGATGGCTTTAGAGGCATGCACCATGTTGTGTTTGTCTACTGTGTAAAGTCATGATACAAATACAATTAAATTTTGGGCTGTGTTTGTTTTTACTTGAAAAAAAAATTGAAGAGTGATGAAAACTTTTGCCTTTCATTCAGCGAACTGCGGCCACAGACTTTGACATGCAGTGATATTTTTCTCTCTTTGGATTCTGATCAGCACTGCTTTTCATAGTTTTTTTTATGTAATCATATAAAAACTATGTAAATGTTTTTTTTTTCAATGTTTACCTGTTATACGGAATATATTGATGACATGATTTCTGATTTTGTCATATGTTTTATATTTTTGGAGCTTTGACATTTTAGTCGCAAAGATTTATGTTTGACCTGGGCAAAAAGGACACTGAAACTCTATCCAAATACATTAATGGCAACCAAAGTGTAAATGCTTATATTGCAGACATGGGAAAAAAAAAAAAAAAAAAACACTGATCAGCCTGTTCCTGTCAGAAATCAATTTGATTTCGTGTCATTCAATGACAGGCATGCTTGGATTTTGCAGCTTCACACTGGCTATTTTTCCAGAACTGCAAGTCACTGATTAGGTTTCCACAGCTGGCTCACAGTTTGGCCACAGGTGCCATCTGCTCTTCATGTTTGGTTTGTGATCTT